ACTGACAGGCCCTTTGTCCTGGGTGTCTGCTCCTGTTTTTCACTGCCTGTTGAAACCCTCTATTTGTCTTTTTTTCTGGAGCCAACAAGAACCGTTTGACTGATTCCCCGGAGCAGGGGGGGCTGAGCCTTTCAGCCTGGATTGACACCTAAAGGGATTTACATGAAGAGCTTCAAACTCACTGGGCTATTTTTTTGATTTTTTTTTTTTTAACATTTTTTTTTTATTTTTTGTTGAAAACCCATCCTCATCTATTTAGCAAATCCCACCATGAAATGATGTCCCTAATTGTTGGCGCTCGCCTCGCTGGGATCGCTGAGTATTTTGCATCCAGCCCTGGGGTGGAAATTCCCCCTGATCCTGTTGGGAACTCTGGTTTTGGGGGGGCTTGTCGTGTGGGTGCGTCCCCCCCCCCCCCCCCCCCGCCAGTGGTGGGATGGGAAGGGGAGGGTGCAAATGAGGATTTTTGGGGGTTAGGGGGTGGTGAGAGGTAACGGAGCAGCAGCAAAGGGGGGTCTGGGAAGGTCTGTGGGGCTCAGGAGGTGGGGAGGACTGAAAAGTGGGGAGCTCGGGGTAAAAATATGGGGGGCTGAGGGCTGTGTGGGGCAGGGTCCAGCCCTCCCATTGGGGGGGACCCCGGTGTCCTTGTGGTGAGGGGGGGTGGGTGTTTGCAGAGCCCCTGGGGCCACCTGGCTTGGCAGTGGGGACAGGGCTGAGGGGGAAACTGAGGCTCCTGGAGTGGGGGTGATCAATAGTTGGGGGGTTCAGCTTTGGAGACCTGCTCTGGAGACATCAGGGGAGCTGAAGCTCCTGGAGCAGGGAAGGTCAATAGTTGGGGAGCTCAGATTTTGAGGACCTGCTCTGGAGCTGTGAGGGGAGCTGAGGTTCCCAGGGATGGGTGGGGAAATAGTTGGGATGGTCAGATTTGGGAATCTGCTCCCAACTGGTGGACAAGGAGTCCTTGTCCCTTGTGGTGGGACTTTTCCTGCCATCCCTGGGGGTGGCAGGAGCTTTCTGTAGCCACCCTAAGGTGTCTCCTGGATGTTGAGGGTCTCCTCTTGGGATGTCTTTGCAGCCCATTCTTGTGCCCTCTGCTGCCTGCAGGACTTGTCCTCCTCCAGCTTCTGGATTATCTGCTGCTTCTACCTTCCTCCTCCTTGCCTTTGCCAGAGGATGGAGCTGAGGTTTCCTGCTGGGATGACCCACTGCTGGGATAACCACTGCCTGTCCAGGGCTAAACAAGTGGGAATCCAGCAAAGGGGGACAACCTTGTCCCCTACAGCCTGGTTCTATACCTGCCTGAGCACCCATGGGTGCTGTGAGTCCCAGGGGCACATCCTGCCCCAGCTGTGCTTCCCCAGAGGCCTTTCAAGACCAGGTTGGATGGGACCTGGTCTAGTGGGAGGTTTCCCTGCCCATGCAGGGAGGTTGGGACTGGGTGGTCTTTAGATCTTGAAGGTCCCTTCCCACCCAAACCATTCCAGGAGTGGGGATTGCAGCTCCTCCTGCAACATCCAGCTCCTTCCCAGGCTTGGGTCCCTCCTTTGGGAGAAGAAAAAGAGGTCAAGACCATGGTGAGAGAGGCAACCAACTCTTGCCAGGTTGGATCACAAGCTTTGGGTGTATTTATTCATCAGTTGGGTTTGTTGTTTCGTTGTATTTCCTGAAGAAACAGGGAGGGAGAAAAATTTCTCCCTGTCCACAATCACTCATCCTTCCTAATAATGAGACCTGTCACCAGCCCTGCTCGGCGAGGAAATGATGCTGACAGTAAATATTTGGTCTGGAACTGATTTATGGGTGGACAAAAAAATGAGATTAGTGGCTTAATCAGTGCGTTGCAGGAAGGGCTTTGGGCCAAGGGCTGGGGCTGAGCTGGCAGGGAACTGGGCTTCAGGTCCTCCTTGTGCCCCAGGGTTGGGAGCAAGAGGTAGGGATGGAGCAGCTCTGTAGGCTTCTTCTTGCCATGTCCTTTTTGGTGGAAGGACCTGGGGGTTTGGGGTCTTGATCCCAGGGTTGGGATCGAGGTAGGGATGGTTGGAGCAGCTCTGGGGGCTTCTTCTTGCCAGGTCCTTTTTGGTGGAAGGGCTTGGGGGGTTGGGATCAAGAGGTGGGGATGGTTGGAGCATCTCTAGGGGCTTCTTCTTGCCAGCTTCTTTTTGGTGGAAGGATTTGGGGGGTTGGGGTATTGATCCCCAGGTTGGGATCAAGAGGTAGGGATGGAGCAGCTCTGGGGGCTTCTTCTTGCCATGTCCTTTTTGGTGGAAGGGCTTGGGGGGTTGGGATCAAGAGGTAGGGATGGAGCAGCTCTGGGGGCTTCTTCTTGCCAGGTCCTTTTTGGTGGAAGGATCTGGGGGGGTTTGGGGTCAGGGGAACTTAGATCCCCCCCAGGCAGGGAGGCACCAACGTTGGGTGTGGGGCTGCTGGTGGGCACCAAACTGGGAGGACTGTGTTGTGGGAACCTGGCTGGAGAAAAAGGATGGAATCCTTTTGGTTGGACAAGACCTTGGAGATCATGGAGCCCAACTGTTCAAGCAGCACCATGTCCCACCATGACACCATGTCCCTCAGCACCCCCAGCACCCAAAGGAGCTGTCACACCCCCCCTGAAGGCAGCAGCAGCTTTTCCTGTGTGAGGAAACAATTAACTCATTAGAGGGTGGTTTAATTTTCTTCTGTTCAAGTGGGCAGGGTCATTTCCTAGGGGCTGGCAGGGCCAGATGTCCTGGGACCAGGTTGGGACCTGGGCAGGGAGTGGGTGTCCAAGCTCTGCTGTGTCTCTGGTTGATGGGACTGGAGTGATGGCAGCAGAGCAGGAGCTGGTGCCTGCAAACAAGGACATGGGGGTTTGCAGGAAGGTACCTGGTGGTTGTGGAGGAAGTTTTGGGAAGGAACAGTGCCTGGAGGGCCCTTGATGACCATGAGCTGTCACACTGCCTGCTCACTGCTCCAAAGAGCATCACTGCTCCAGGTTCTTCAGATCTTCAAATGGCTGGAGATGCTGATCCCAGAAGAAGGGCAGAGCATGCTCTTCTCTACCTTCCAGTATTGAAATATGGCCAGGAGAGGACTGGTGGCATCTGTTGGCCCACTGGGGAGTTGCCCCACGGAGAGCTGGCTGTGGAGATCTGACCCATAAACCTGCAGCCCAACCATCTGAGCCACCAAAGTGATGGCTGGTCCTTGTCCCAGAGCCAGGCAGGTGGAAAAATGGGCTGAGAAGTCAGGGGTGAGGGTCTCATACCCCTCTCTTTGCAGCACTTCCTTTCTGATGAACCTTTCCCAGTCTTTAGGGTTGTCCCCACCCAGCTTTCCTGGAGCCCCTCCAGGCACTGGAAGCTGCTCTAAGGTCTCCCTGGAGCCTTCTCTTCTCCAGGCTGAACACCCCAACTCTCCCAGCCTGGCTCCAGAGCTGCTCCAGCCCTTGCAGCATCTTGGCCCTTCTCTGGCCTCCCTCCAACAGCTCCATGTCCTTCCTGTGTTGGTGACCCCAGCACTGGACACAGTTCTCCAGGTGGGGTCTCAGCAGAGCAGAGGGGACAATCCCCTCCCTGGCCCTGCTAGTCCCACTGCTGGGGATGCAGCCCAGAGAGCTGGGTGATGGGAAGGGGTTGAAGTCTCTTGTAGAACCACAGGTCTAATCATCCCAGCATCCCCCCCCAGGTGCCACCACTCCCTTGGTGCCTCCTTCCCTCCTTCCTACCTGTGACCAACATCCCCCCTGTCCCCCCCCGCCCCATTTCTTCCCCTTCACTTGATCTCCTTGGTTCATTTTCTCCTCCTCCTTCCTTCCAGAGTCAAGAAGAAGAACAAGCCCTTGAACCTCAAGATCCACACCAGCGTGGGCAGCTGTGAGAACATCCCAGCCCAGCGCTCCCCGCTCCTCTCCGAGCGCTCCCTCCGCTCCTTCTTCGTGGGGTACCCACCTTTCCTTCCCTCCACCCCTCCTGTCCACACCGAAGCCACCTTCTCAGCAAGTAAGTCCCAGGGCCACCTCCCCCTTGTCCCCCAGGGCCCTTTTTTTTTTTCAAGGGGCAGGTGATGGTTGATGTGAAGCGGAGCGTTGTGACTGTGGGAAACTGGAGGCATCTACCCGGGCATGGGTGGTCTGGAGGACCATGGGTGGGTGGATGGATGGGTGGGTGGATGGATGGGTGGATGGTCTGGAGGATGAAGGAGGGATGGATGGGTGGATGGATGGGTGGATGGATGGATGGATGGATGGTGGATGGATGGATGGTCTGGAGAATGAAGGATGGATGGATGGGTGGATGGATGGGTGGATGGGTGGATGGATGGATGGTCTGGAGGACCATGGATGGATGGATGGGTGGATGGTCTGGAGGATGAAGGATGGATGGATGGAGGGATGGATGGAGGGATGGATGATGGATGGTCTGGAGAATGAAGGATGGATGGGTGGATGGATGGATGGTCTGGAGGACCATGGATGGATGGATAGGTGGTCTGGAGGACGAGGGAGGGAAGGAGGGAGGGATGGATGGATGGATGGATGGATGGATGGATGGATGGATGGATGGTCTGGAGGACCACGGATGGATGGATAGGTATGAGGGACTGTGGAGAGATGGTCATGGATGGATGGATGGAGGGATGGAGGGATGGTCTGGAGAACCATGGATGGAGGAAAGGTATGAGGGACTGTGGAGAGATGGTTCATGCAGAGCCTTGGGTGAAACTGGCCCTGGTGCAGATGGGTCTGGTGCAAACCCCATGGAGCTTGATCCCAGCAGGCAGCTCCAGTGCTGCCCATGGCCCTTTGGCCTTTTCCAGGAGATGCTGGTGCCAGGACCTGGTGGGTTTGGGTGGCCAATACCTTCCTAATATCTCATCTAAATCTCTGTTCCTCCAGTTTGACACCACCCCCTGCCCAACTTGTCCTATCCCTCCATGCCCTTGCCAAAGCCCATCTCCAGGTTTCTTGCTGCTGTTCTGGCTGGTCCAAAGTGTCAGGACTTGCAGTTCCCATGGGAATTGCTGGTCATGGTTTTTGGGCTCCAACTCAGCCCATCCCCTGGGATGCCACCATGTCTTGTTGCCTTTGAAGCCTTGTGTGGCTTCCAGTGACCTTCAGCTGGGTGCATCAGTCCATGCCTACACATCAACCCTGTGTCACCCACGGGTGCCTTTGCCCATGTCCCTCCTGGGTCGTCTCTAGGTGGTTGTGGAACTGGTTCTGGGAGGAGGCTGCACCCCAGTGTCTCCCTGGGGCTGGCACTGGGAGTGTTTTGGTGGCTGCCCTGGGGTAGCTGCAGGTCTGGAGGACATGGACAGGCAGGTGCCAAGTCCCCTGGCTGTTCCTGGGCCTCGGGGTGATTCATCCTGGAATGGTTCCCAAGTTCACTTCCATCCATCTCATCCGTCCCACCCACCGCCCAGGGACATCACCCCGTGCTGGTGGTTGGGAGAGGAGGAGGAGGAGGAAGGGGAGGCTTTGTGGATGGGGCTGTCACTGTGATTGATGCCATGGGTCACACACCAGGTCCCTGGGCTCCTTGGGAAGGTGCCAGGAGGGGATGGTACCAAACCAGGGGCTCCAGCAGCACCTTCCAGCCCCAGCTAGAACCCCCCGTGTCCCCAGGGTGGGCAGACACCCCGAAAACATCCATGAAAGGGCAGCTCTGGCTGCTCCATCCCCCCCCCCATGCAGGAGATGACCGAGCTGACCCATCCCCCCCCGGCAGAGGGGCCAGGAGGGCGTCACGGCCCCGGCGCTGTCACCTCGGGGCTCCGCGGGTGCCACTCAGGGAGCCGCGGGGGCTGGCACAGCTGCCTGGCACC